AAATGAAGGCAAAATAGATTATTATTATTGCTTTTTATTAAAATTTACTAACTGTCATCATCAACATTAGAAATTCTCTTGGTAGCTGGAAAATTCTCGAGAAATTAAATTAGATCAAATCAAATAATAATAATAATTAAACTAACGTAGATATTATAAAGACGATAAAATGTTGTATCAATAAATAAAACTAAGAGTTAAAAAGCCTATCGGTGACAGAAAAACACGGGCATCATTATACAGAGTATAGATTTATTATTATCAGCGATAATTTGTGCTTCAAAAACGTCATCCAATGTATTACTGTACTTCAAATGAACCTACCTAATAAATATGGAATCAGTTCAATAAATGAGATTACTTAGACCTAATGGATTATATAGTAGCTTCATGGTTAATACACAGTTGACTAGCCATTGACAGACAGACAGACAAGGATTCCGTCCCACAGAAGGTCCTTGACTCGATTCCAAATGTGTGGGGGTCATGGATGTGTGTAGTGTCCTGAAGAGTCCTAAAAAAAATGACTGTGCACTGGTCCATAGTTTTTCAGTGATTATCTAATTGAGATCGTCCGGTTATGCCTTTGTACAGTGTGTTGCTTGGTTTAGAGTAGGTCTGAAATTGATATCAGGCTGTGGCACAGTGATAATTGAAAACATAGTGGCTAGCTCACAGATGGGTTCTTTTGGAATTCCATTTGGATGTCGTCACCTTGTGTATGTGGTATACTGAGTCGTGTTTTAAAACAGTATCTATCCTGATGAATACTTATTCTACTGGGTTTCTTCATTAGGAATAATATCCGTGTGGAGTGGATTATTCTGATAAACTGTAGAAATAGCTAAATTTACAAACTATGGTTGTTTTATCTGAGCTGGCTGGATAGTTAATTTGCGAAGCTTTCATCGCCCTGCTGGGCGGGCGACATCTTCCTTCAGCGCCTACACTTCAATTTGAATTGAAGTGAGCTTTCAGATTTCTCCACGAGTTTATTAATCATCTCTCCTGGTGACTTTGGAGGTGATTGGTTGTTTATATGTGTTTTCACACCTTCTAGGTTACTTGTATTGGAACTGATTGTTTCTTTGACTTGGACTTTGACCCTTTGTATGTGGGGTTTCTTTCTTAACTGTTGATAAATTCTATTTCGATGTGTCTATTGATTGATGATTCACTGGAATACCAGGTAGGCTGCTAAAAATTTTCTAGCGGTCTCTGTGTTGTTTCCTCTGTCTAATATTTGAACGTTGGTTGGTTGTCCCAGTCAAATTGATGTCCGTAGTTGTCTGTATGCAGTGAGGCGATATAAGTGAAGGTGTGGATATCATGTCTTTTGACGGCTAGCTTATGTTCGTGCATACGAAGACGAAGAGGAAGGACGTCCATTTTGGCCGATGTAATGTTTTTCGCAGTTGTTACAATTTATTTTGTAGATACTAATGTTGGCTTTATCTTCTTTCGCTGTTGAGTCTTTTGGTTGACATAAAATTGAGTGAGGTGACTTTGTTGGTTTGTGTACGACGTCAATTCCTAGAGGTTTGAAGAGTGTTGCAGCGATTTCTGAGATGTCCTTTATATATATATATGGTAGGGTGATTTTCTTTGTGCTTTCCTTGGGGAGAAATCTAAAAGCTCACATCAATTCAAATTGAAGTGTGCGCTGAAGGAAGATGTTGCCTAGTAGGGCGGTGAAAGCTTCGCAAATTAACTATCCAGTTAGCTCAGAGAACACAATCACATCAAAAAATATTTACACCCTGTGTGGCTAGTGCTACTGATAAGAGATACATGAGTGACGTGAAAGGAGCACCATGAAAGACAATATGAAGGCCAGAATCAGTACAACACGAAGGTCTGTGCATATGTTGCACGCTGAAGATGAGGTGTACATAATTTCGCTATATATAGAGATGGCAAATATTTTGTCTTCTACCGTTACACCTGTATAGAATTCTCAGTGCATATTTTTACTGCATGTCATACACTCCTCTTCCAGGGATTTTAAGTAAAATATTTATTGGTAGTATGTCGCATGGTGCAGTGTTTGTCGATCAGAAGCATAAACACCATTCCCTTATGATACTTCCTTTTATCTGCTTTCGAGGCGAGAAATCTACAGTTACAGATTGAAAGTGCAAATTAAAAATGTGCGTGATTACATTCTGTGATCCAAAGGCATACTAATTGACTAATTAAAATAATAATGAGAAATGGGCGAAATTCGATGTACCATGTTGGGTGGAAGGAAATTCAGGTAACGCAGTGAATTAAGCAGGCCGCCCTGATATTATTCATATAAATAATAATGGTTTGTGAAGTAAAAAATTATTGATAATATTGCTGTGGTAATATTATTAGAATGTTCGCATGTCTTTCAGAATGTGAAGTATTCACATAAAATAAATCTAGCCTTAGATTTATCGTTATACATTACATATATTAGACAATAAAAATCCTAATAATAGCTGTCTTTGAATAGCACCCTTCATGACCTTCATGGATTATTCTTTATTCTAACCAAAGGTTTTTCATTAAATGATGCAAGTATTTAGCTAGATAGTAGCCTCAGGAGTTGTAGGTAGGTAGATCTATAATCCAGCCAATCATTTCTTTTCAAGTTAACGATAACAGAAATAACTTTGAACACAATGACCTCTTCCTTCTTGAGCTTTACGACCACATCATATAATCACCATACGGCCTAATCCTTGTCAGCCTGCCATCTGACCTTTTGAGTTTTCCAAACTTAATATTTATTGGCTAGTAAACTAGGGTGGGCGGGGTTGACATTCCGTCAGCCAGAACCGATCCCAGACCTTCTGTATGGCTAGCGAGTATTCTGTCGTCCAACCACCGGTGGAGTAATTACTCTATAAATGATCATTAATAATTAATTGCCTTATAAGTTATTCTTAAAGTCTTCAATGTCACCAGATATTTACAAGCAACCGGTACCTTCTGATTGCATTTACGGTACAAATATTTTCGGTTGCTAACGGTTCAAGGTTCGATTCCCTGTCAGTGAACTCCGAAACAGAGATTAGCAACACCGGCTCGTAAAAAAAACAATACAAGGGCTATTGGCACTACAAAGCTTAAAGAATGAATGACTTTATGTTTCACTTGGAACGTGAAGGAATAAATTGAATCCAATTCACCTGGAATTATATATAATTTCTTTCAAATGATGAATCCGACTATATCGTTTTTGTTGGACAGTTTCCAGGGGATTCATCCGACTTATACTGATATCTCGTACATGGAAGTTAATTCTACAAAATCCTCCCACTATATTATTGCTCTAAACAAATAATATCAGTCAAATGAAATGTTATTTCTGGCTGTTTCATGCGGTGGCTAGTTTTTTAACCGTTCCACAAGAGATTAAGTAACTAAAACTCATCGTTGTCTGATAAAATCTTCGTTTTATAGAGGCGCTGCTTGATCAGTTAAGTGGTAACACCACCCACCTCCCCTCTCCCCGGCAGCTTTAACAAGGAGTGATTCAGATTCCTATATATGTATGCAAGGGATACTGATCTTCTTCGGAAATGAATATATAGGTCTTCCAGTAGATTTTCAACATCACGTAAGACCTGCGTTAGGTAGTTCCTTCTGTGAATACAGCGAGCGACAGCACAATTTTAAGTGTCCTTAATTTATTGTATATGCATGTGTGTGTGTGCGTGCGTGATAAAGCCGATCATGCTGACATACTATAAATAGTTTTCTTTTAAAAAACACACATTTTCACAGTATCGCTCCTCGAGTTGAATTTTAAAAACAGCTTCCCTTTATCGACAGTCACGTGGTTTGCATCAGTTTTGATCGTTCCAACTGAAAGCTTAATTAATACGCAAGAATTTCTTATTCGCTTATTCACTCCTACTAAGTATGCCAATGGAACAACTCGTTTCTTCTTCTTCATGTGCGTCGGTGGCACAGTGGTTAGGACTCTCGCCGACCATGGACATGGTCCGAGGTTCGAGCCCACGCCGACGCACACCTGATATCTATGGTTGGCCTGCGAATTTTGGGCTACCGATATCCACGCTGAAAATTCCATACTTGTACCAAAAATACGGTGTGGAGTCAAGCTGTAATCAAAAATAAAAAAATAAATAAAAAATAATTACTCAGTGAACTGGTTAACTAAATACATATCACTTTTCAAGTATCGGTTTTGTAGGGATTTCGTTGAAGTATTGGTTGAAGTATTTCATCATGATCTGACATCAGTCATGAATTGGCAGAAGTTAGAATTCATATACTGGCTAGCCATTGGATTGGGTCCCAGTGGCTGCTCAGGGGTCTACGAGCTAGCTGGCCTTGTAACCAGAGGGTCCTGGGTTCGAACCGCATTCGGATGGGTGCGTACTGCTGGAGAGTTAGTCCCAAACTAGACTGACGAAACAGCTGGCTGTCCAGTACTCCCTGTAGGCTTTCCAATAGTGTTCTCTAACTTGAGTCGACTCATAATGAAATCCTCCAACCAAACATATCACTTTGTGAAATGCAGGTTATCTGCTATGGAATAGCGATTTTTCTGCAGTCGACAGTTTGGGAGTCAAGACTTGAAAATTAATCTGATGCTAATTAGCGGTTGGCTCTGTACATGAAGTACCTTTAGTTCTTTTGAGAAATCATGATCAACGAGGTCCACAAAGTCAAGTAAAAGATCAGTTACTCGCTGATGACATTGGGTGGCTGAGTGGCCTTCGAACTCTCCATGTAACCGGAAGGCCCTGAGCTCGAGCCCTAGCGGATGCGTACCTCTTGAGGATGGTGCACTAGGACGAAATAACAACTGTCTACTACTGCACTGCTGGTTTTCCAATCGTTCTCTAACTGATTTCATCTCGTGACCAATCAGACCTCCAGTAAACCAACACTCATAATCAGTAATAATTGAAAGTTAATCAGTCTGAATTACTTAGATTGAGTTGTAATCGTTTTGTTTTGTTTGTTTCTTATTCAATGTCAATTTTCGCTTACAGCTTCCCAAATAGGCCCAAATGAATATGTTTGTAAAGCGTGCGGAAAACATTTTCAAATATTACGCCTTCTAACAAGACATATAAAATGTCACAGTCAACTACACAGGTATTTATGTAAATTTTGCTTTAAAGGATTCAATGATACCTTCGATTTGAAACGTCATACCAGAACGCATACAGGTGAGCTAAACACACTTTTTCCCTTTATACAAAACAGTTTATTTCAAATGTTAACTATTATTATAACCAGGTGGCTTTCTTTATAACAAAACAGCTATGTGTCATGATTGGGTTCGACCCCTTGCTGAAGGACTTATAAGTCTACTCTAGTTTGCTTGATAGGTTGATAGTAAGCCTGGGTCGAATAGGCTCAACCCATGATCTGTAAAAAGAACACCGTCGCCAGTGAGACTTCAAAAGCTTCAAGCAATATATTCATTCCACTCGGACGCAAAGTGAAAGTGAAAACAATTAGCCAGTCAAACGGATTACATTTAATTGATGACCAGTTAAGGCAGCATAAACACAACACTACTGTGCTATCTACTTCCAATTGCCAGTCTGCAATCTGTCCAATAAATAGGGCCACTTATCGGTGAAATTCTAGAGACTCAAATCTGCACTAACCATTTTTTCGATATAAGCACTTTTACTGACTACTCGGTTGAGGTGATGCAGCTATCTCTTATCTAGTTCTCATTCGGTTTATCACTGACACTGTCTTAGTTCCAAATGATAGAACTGGTCGTTTCTTGTGTTGTGTATCCTGCCAAATTAAATCTGAGAGTCACTGCCAGTCGAGGTGTATTGTCGGTTGCTCACAAAATACAGACCAGGATTATCTGTTGATCTGATCCAAAAAATGAAGAGAACAATTAGAGATTTGAGGTGATATTTTGTAAATAAGTGAATGTACTCCAACGATTGAGAAGGATGCATAATACATTTTATGCATTATTCCAAGCATTGAACCATCCACCTGAAATGCAAACTGACCGACTGAGTTCCAACATGGGACTTTGCACGGAAGTGCAGTAGTACAAAGTTGCCGCACACCGTATACTATACGAGGATAGAGAATAGATGGGAAAAAGAGATTGAAGGGAACTGTAATGAGCAGAAATGTGAGGTAGGCGAGGTGGGGGATGAATCTGGGAGAAATTGTAAAGAGTGAATACATCTTCGTCACTGAGAACTATATCCAGCCATATCACCGATAATCTCAAGCTAACATTCCGACGACCGTAATCAGTCAGTCAACATCTCCCTGCATGGCTCAAAATAACTGTCACAGACTTCATGGATTGATCCTAGGTCTTGGTTTCCAATATAATCCCACATTAGGAAACATCAGTAGTCGAGGAAGGCAGCAGTTCGTCTGATTGTAGGAAATAATTTAAAAATCACACCGTTTATATTATGAAATCTTGGAAAATACACATTGGGACATTAGATTGAAAAGAACAAGAAGTTCATCATAGATATCTGTCTTTCCGGTGATTTCATTCTCAGAGGCAGATGTACAATCGCATTTATATAGATTAGTTTACATGGATATAGTTCTTATTTGTTTAATTCCACATAGTAACGAAGGTGATAATAATTTTCAACTTGATATGAAAGTTTGAAGGTACAAATATGTCGATTACAAGGGGCTTAGAGACAAGATTGCATAGGATTAGAAAACAGTTACAACATATGCAAAATTAATATTTGATAACTGGAGAAACCATTTTAAAGGTGAATAAAAGGTGATAATTGTTTTCAACTTGATATGAATTACAAGAGGCTTAGAGACGCAGGGATAAAAAGAATTACAGGTGTGAACAAAATGAGCATGGAAGCAAATTGAAATCAAAATTTTCAACTTGATATGTAAGTTAGGATGTGTGAATATAGATTACAAGAGGCATAGAAACAAAAAATCACACAGGATTAGAATATAATTGTAAAATGGTTATTGTGAACGGATTACAAGTGTGATCAGGAGGAGCGTGGAAACAAACTTAAAATAACTGATTTTGTAACTGAAAACGGAAATGGGATGAATTGAATGAAGGCAAAGAGAGAAAATTACACACACAGATAACAAAACAAAAAACTGAAGTGAACATACCGAACTAGGTCCATGGTTGTTGTAAAGGCTGGACTAGTTTCTTTTGAACATATAGCACCGGCTTTTCGATGCATATGGCGAGAGCTTCCGCAGTACAAAGAAGTCGGAAACACACTGGTTGCCTTTGGTAGATTTTTGTTTACTTTGTAAATGACTCTAAATGATGAGTCGGTTGAGATTCTGTGCCATGTATTGACGAGATGTTCAGTTATTGCGCTTCTGATTGAACCAGTGACTCCTCTTTGCAGCCATGCTGGACGATGTTCTCTAACATGTTTTCATAAGACCCCCATAGAACGACCTATATACCTAGCTCTGCAAGAGCAGGTGAACTGATATATGCACAATGAAGTGGTCATATGCGGAAGTAAGTCTGTTCTTCCCGTTGCTCCGAAGTAGTGGGCTGCTAGAGAATATCACTCTTAGAGTTGGTGCCGGAAAAGTCATCTTCAGGGAATTGGAGATTCTCATTTTAAGGATATCTGCTGCTAGGTCTCCCCTGAATTCCAGATTCAAATAGAGTATCTTCTTTTGCACTGAAGCGTATTCTTCTCTTTTTGGCCTTGGCTTCATGTTCTTCTCCACGAAACGCGGTGGGTATCCATTTTGAACGAGGATGCTTTTGAGAAATAGGAGCTCTTCTTCTAAACACTCATCACTACAAATTCTTCTGGTACAGTGGGCTAGCGAGATGATGAGAGCTCTTTTACGTCTGATAGGTATCCAACTGGAGAAGTTTGTCAGTTGGCCATTCCATGTTGGCTTCCTATGGATAGATCTCTTGAGAGTTCCGTCATCTGTTCTTGTCAATTCGACGTCCAGGAATGGAATCTTTGATTCATTTTCAACTTCCATTGTGAATTTAATTGAAGGATGGTAGTTATTAAACTCTTGTAAGATACAATTTAAATCGGAGTCATCTTAACAAACTATAAAAGTGTCATCGACGTATCTTTTGTACGGAAGCAATTTGTTCATTGTTGATTTTAAGATGCCGTTTTCCAGGCTGGCCATGAAGCAGTCTGCCAAAAGTGGGGCAAGGGGAGAGCCTATAGCATTATTATTATAGCATATTATGTTTTGAAACCCCTTAAAATTTGAACTTATCTGCATAAATTAAGAATAGAGTGAATGAATATGCACTTTCATTCTTCACTTTCAAAAATACAAGAAACATAGACAAAAAGGCCAACAAATCCGCCCCAAAATGTGTGTCAATAATCTTACAGGAATACATCAATATGGTTGAATGTTTGTCATTATTTATTTTAAATGTCTGTCGGTAGCACAGCAGTAGAATACTGGCCAACCATGCGGGTGGTTCGGGGTTCGACACCCGGCCACCGCATTCCTTTACCTCGCTAAGCCAATAATAAGGCTGGTAAAGACGGAAGGTTGGGGGGGAGATGAGACTAGCAACCCCATCCTGTAAAAATAAATACCACTGCGTCCTATGTTCCACTGGGGAACATAAAGGAACAAAAATAAAAATACCAAAAAAGCTTATCTTAAATATTTTATTCAGTCTTGTCTACTCTCAATTTTCGGTAGTGTTGTTGAGAAGCACGAAGCCATGAGAATACAGGGTAGGTAATACAGGGAACAACTAATGATGAACAGACACCTATTTCACCTTCAGTTAACAAGTAAAACAAACACCAAAATGAACACAATTCATTGAATGATAAATGTTCAAGATCAGGATACAACTGTGGATTATAGACAAGCGGTGTTTTTAAGTAAGGACAGTAAATAAGTGGGGATACGTCAGTCACATGTATATATATGATAAACGGTGTTGTACACTAAGAGGAGTCATCATCACGAAAAGCACTCAGCATACAATAATTACAGTGTCACCGAATGACAACAACAAAAGTCTGATAAGATAGAGAGACTAGTGTGTTCAGAAGTAAAATAAATGCACTTAACCAAAAAAACAAAACAGGAACTATTCAAAAACCGACAGTCTTCCGTTTGTAGAAATTCATTGAAAAAAAATAATGTCTTATATTATCATATATATATATATATGTGCTGTATTCTTTTGAAAATTTCTAGCACGTATCTGAACACTAAACATTTGATCACTGAGTTGAGTACATGGTGTACCCTAGTAATGGCATTCAAGTTGAAAACAAGACGTCAAAGTATATATACACATATAGTCAGTAGATAACATAGCATAACACATAACATAAACTCTTCTAGCTGATCGATATTTTAATTCCGACAAACGATGCGTGCATGTTAATACAATTTCACTTATGTACTACTTTTATTAGATGAATAAGCGGACAAAATTGTTTTCATGGTGTCGCACGCAAATTTTATATATATATATATACATATGTATATATATATATATATATATGTATATGTATATGGGGAAGTGGCTACACGTCTTTCATGGATCTGATTATATACACTAACATATTTGTAGTTCTGAGTACATGTGAAAACAGCATGCAATTTCTGTTAAGTAGACAAAACCCGCCTTAAAAGTACATGACCTTTAAATATTCAGATTTATTTATAGCCAATTGAAAATGTGTACTGTACTTTCTCTTTTATAGACGTTTTTTTTCTGGGTCATAAAATAGTCTGTACAGAAAATACCGTTTTATTGTTAGTTGGAGTTTGAACGATGAGTGAATGGAATAATGTCAGCTAAGCATCACAAAGGTTCACAGAGGTAAAACACTCGCTAAAAACAATTTAAGTGGTCCAGGATTCAATTGCCAAACAACTGAAACCTTGCTTAGCTCGTAGTAGGTCAGTAAAAAAAAGAGGAGAGGTTGAGCGTGAGGCGTGAGGCAAGCCCACCCTGTGGAAAATAAACACCGCTGCTACAGAAACTTCAGAGCGCTAGCTTGGAGCCCTATGTTCCACTAGGGACGAAAAAGAATGAAAAAAGTGGGTGCATACTGACGAGGAGCCCCAAACTAGGCTGACGAAACAGCTATCCAGTACTCCTTGCAGGTTTTCCAATGGTTCTCTAACCAATGTCAGCTCATGATGAAATCCTGTAACCAATAAAATGAGTAGTTAGTTAGTGGCTTCT